TCGATTTTAACTTGTTATTCTTAAATTGTCAAGTAATCTTTTATCAACTTTTTATGGAAAAGTATTTACAGGTGACAGAAAATTTTACGCACAAAATGAAATATCGCACCCAATTCAAATCACGCAGAAGTAGGATTTCCTAAACGAGATTAATAATATTATCTTTGCGTACAATTTATTTCATCGGTATCAAAAGGGGTGTGTAAACAACCTGTGACAATGTTAAATCGCTATTGTACGCAACAAAAATTCCACATTATTAATAAATAATCAAAATAAATTATATTGAAAAAAATTTAACAACCTGCTGCAGGCACTATTATTCTTGCGATTGCGTAAGAAAAAAGTCGAACTTATTATTCCAACACTATCGACATTGACGTCTTGGTAGACAACATTCAACAAAGACAGGAAGATCATGGTGCGGTGCAAAAAAATCGCGTTATCGCGTTCGCGCTCGCGTTCGATCGTAAATGTTGCGCATTGCGCGTTGCGCGTTAAAACTGTTTGCGAATCAAAAAATGAAAAATAAATTGCCGCGTACTATGTGCCGAAATCTTGTACTCGGAGCTTTGAATTGAAGGGCTGTTGAGTAAAATATTGTGATAAAAGTTTGGAAGTATGCCACTATTTTTTTGCGCACCAAATGTCTACAAATCGAGTTCGAAATGTCCTAAACATTTTTAGAACGGTACGCATACAAAACGGACAAATGATTTTGGAAAAGAAATTTCGAAGCTTATTTAAATCGAATCCGCAACTTAAGACGATCTAACGTCGAGTTTAAAAGTCAACGTGTTTTTCATTTTTTATACTGATCATTTTGCTTGCATGATGATACACAAAAACACATGAGTGAAAAACTTCAAACAGCTGTAGCAAAAGAGGTCAAGAGCTATCTAAGTGAGAGCGAAAACGACATTTTACTTGCACATGATCAGTAAGAATACAATGTTTATTTAAGACATGCTTTACAATGCAATTTTCGCTGCAAACAGATAATGGCATTACGCAAGAAGTTGTGCAAATAGTTTGATAGTGATATTTTGTTTGAGAATTTCTAATAAGAATCACAAAATCTCAACTGCTTGCGCAGCAATTTATTTCAAGATTCAATAAATGTCAAACAATGACCGTCAATTGTTATCTCCTCCTACATTACTAGTTTAATGTCTCATTTATCATTACTAGTTTAAAATAAGTCTATGCAAGATAGTGAATCAGAGTATGTTCAATAAAATGTTATATCTATTAAATATTTAATCATTTTATTCCGAAAATCAGATGAAATTGGCTTCTAAAAAAATAATCCTTTCGCGCGGGTTACTACACTTTGCACAGAGCAATTACTTTTGGAAGGATTGAGGATGTTATTTGCGTATTTTTGTAAGATTTTTAATAATTTGTAATTGACGTAAATATTGTTATCGTCATTTATTTTGATTAATTAGTGTCTTTTTTAAATTTCGGATTTATAGCGTTGTTTCGATCATATATCTCATACCCAAATATTCGAAGCCATTTCGTCATCTAGCTGGGTGCTGCTGGTTTGACGTATTGCCGTTATCGGGCTTCCCAACGATTTTGCAATTGCCCGATGTCAGTTATTAAAGACCGATTACGCGTGCAAATACACGCATTGCGCGCGCGCGCGCGAATGCATGCACACATTTATGCGTGGCGCACGCCTGTGATACGAATAAGTTACATTGCTCTCGTGAATGATAAACATGTGGGAGGAGAACAATCGCGGATTACAATATCAATAATTCTAAATCGAGTCGAATTGATTCTTGTTTTATCGATTGTATAAATATTTAATAAATTGTTTTAATTGATTGAAATATTCTTATTTAACCAATATATATCTAATTGCAAAGTTTGACACTATTATAACGTAATGCGAAAAAAAAATTAAAAGAATTTTAATTTAATATGAAAATAAATATTGCACGATATTTGTAATTAAATATTCACCTCTAGACGATCTCTCTGTCAATTTTCTGATGCACAGAAACTCACTAGAAACTTAGCTATTTCGGGGATTTTAAAGACAGCGGAATAGTGCATGACGCAAACTGATTACGAGAAGAACGTTTTGTTTTCATCATCCTTTCTTTCGATCTTTTTCATTATCACGCCACTTTGCTTTACATATAAAAGTGAAAATAATGAAGTAAATTCTGGCCGATTGTTGCATCAGAATAGAGCTGACGAAATTTTAAATATTAGATCAAGCAAAAATAAAGATGCGATGTGGTGGAGACGGTGAACTTTGTAAGATAAAGTTTATCAAGCGACGCAGTTAACAATATATCGTGTTGTACATTAATTTGTATTAATTATCTTATTTGCCAGAAAAATAATTTAGAACTTGCATCACTATGCTAAATGGCACTTTATTAGAGGAAATTAACAATTTATCACATCAATCTTCTCAATATGAAAAATTATTGCATGTTATTAAAATTGAAATATTTGGAATAGTAGTAAAAAATATTATTTTAAATAAAATATTTAAATAAATAAAAACAAGTCTATAAGCATGAGTTTAAATTATCTATATTGATATATAAATCATTAATATATAAATACATTTGATACAAATATATATATTGATAGTTATCCAACATTAATTAGTAACAATTTTTAGATATTTTTGTATTGAAAATAAATTACAGTATAATTTCTTATAATAATACCTTGCAAGTTTATGTTATTCGATGCCAATTATATAAAGTATTGCAAGATATTGCAAAGGTATTTGCTAGCTTATCAAATGTATATATTTCTGTTGCTGATTGTAAATTTCTTTTCATTTTCTAGGAGTAATAAAATTGTATTGTTGGGAAAAAATCTCGAATAAAATCATCGAAAACTACGTAAAACAATGATTTTGTAAGGATGATATTGTTGGTAAACAAAAAATTGTTGGTAAACTCTTGTTACAGGCACACGATTCGATAGTGATTCTTTCCCATAGTATCTAACGGATTATAAACGCGTGAGATTGTCAATACGTACTTTCATCATTCATTCATGTAACTGCATACTCGATTACATCATGGTTGATAGTGCATCGTTGAGAAAACTTTCTGATACGTTACGAACAAGAGATTAGATCTATCGCACATATCGCTTTTAAACATAGTTTTCGGTAAAGGTAATATTTTCGAAACATTTTAGGTTTATTTAGAGTTTATCTAATCATACAGTTTTCTCAGAAATTATTTATATATTATATTTGAACTGTATCAAAAAGAATTTTTGTAGAAAATTATTTAGTGAAATTTTTTGAAACATATATATATAACTAAGTACTCCTAAATGACACTATCTTCGAGCTATCTTTTGGAGTAAAATTCTTCAACAATCATTAAAGCACTTAACAAGCATTTTAAAACTTATCATTTGGAGCATTAAAAATTATCAAATATTTTTAAAGAATACATTGATGTATTCTTTAAAAATATTTGATAATTTTGATAATTGATGTATTCTTTAAAAATATTTGATAATTTTTAATGCTCCAAATGATAAGTTTTAAAATGCTTGTTAAGTATTTTAACGATTGTTGAAGAATTTTACTCCAAAAGATAGCTCGAAGATAGTGTCATTTAGGAGTACTTAGTTATATATATATGTTTCAAAAAATTTCACTAAATAATTTTCTACAAAAATTTTTTTTGATAAGATGAAAGACTTATGTTACTTTTAGCATCCGATCTTGAGCAATCTAGCCAATATTAGCAGGATCAAGATGCTGCTAATTTTTACAAAATCTAAAAATATACTTTAAGTTTATCCTTTTTTACAATTTTTTTCTCTTTTTTTATCTAAAATTTATTCTTTTAACGATTGAATCTGTTTTATTAAAACATTGCAAAGATAAAAAAGTGCGCTCTGTATTTGAATAAAATGATAATAGCCAAATATGATCAATTTATTGTCGTATATTATCTTTCAGACCACCAAAATTGAAACAGATCAAATATACAATAACAATACAGAAGTTGTTGAATGATATTCGTTGTAAGCACTCCAATTAGATTCAAGAAATAACGCCCAAAATAGTTTACATAAAAAAAAAACGCTTTTTGTGCTTAAATGATTGATCGATGCATTTATATTTGCTAACTTTGTGAATAACACACTTGCGTCATGTTATTATCGTTTTGCTGTAGTCTCGAGAAAAAAAATCATAATGACAAAATTAAAGCGCAGAAGTGCACGAGAAAAAAAGTTTTAAAACAATGCAGATATGTGTCCTTTGCTGCTCATTATGAAAATGATATTCTAATAATTTAATTGCGCGTTGCGTCTCAGAGTAGCACGATAATACGTTTGCGATAACTCAGGAAATCACAAAAATTTGAAAAAATAATAATTAGACGAAATATTAACTTATATATTAACAAAATTTATAAAAAAATAAGAAAAACCTGCATACAAAGCGAAAATATAAAATAGAATTACTTTATAATTTATTCGTAGTATTTTTTAAATATATTATTATACTAAGGATAAATTGTGGAAAATTAAAACATTCATAAATATTATCAATAACACAATTTTTTATCTTACATTTTTTTAAATTAAAGAAAAATGAAAATTTTTTTATTTCTTGTGAAAGTATTTTGGAATTTCCACTTTTCTTGTTTTTCTCATTTATAATAATCTTGTATTTTTAATCTTTTAAGTCTAATGATTAATGCTTTACTTTAAGTCATTAATTTATTTGTTATTTTATCAATCTAATGTATGGTAAATGTTATTGAGTTGTTAATTTAATGTACATGTCGTTTACAATAGAATTAGTAAATATTTCTAATCAGTATTAGAGATAGCCGAAGTAGTTTGATGTCTGTGTGGCCTGAACACACAATCTGAAGAACTATTTAGTTATCTTACTACACAGAAACCGTGTTCCTTTTTGAATATGTAATGTAATCTGACGCAACCAATGAGTTATCGCTAAATATAAAAGCTGGCTTAACCAAGCGCGCTGTCAGTGTTGAAAAGGGTAGCAGAAGTGTTCAGTTTAGGAGAAAAAATCAGTTTTCTTTTTTCGAGAGTTCTTGTCTTGAATTCTTGGCGAGTTCTTGTAGTCTGTATACGTGTCAGAGGACGACATTAATACGTTAACGGAAGGACTACACGAGTATTAAAATAGATTTTCCGAATTGCCGGAATAGATTCCAAATTAATATTAATTTTGTTTCATCGAATTATTATTGATTAATTAATAATAGTTGACTGTGCATTGAAAAGTAATTTTTGAACAGTAGCGCAATCAACAACTTACTGATCCAAAAGTTGTATAAATTTGAGTGCTAATAACGAGATATTCGAAATGGATTATTCTTTCTTTAAGACGGAAATCTCTAAACGCAGGCGACCTGCCACAACGCGAGAGCTAAGTAAGAAGCAGAACTTGTTTTTATTTTTATAGTTAAACTTAAGCTATGGCAATAATAAATAAGAAATACATCAGCAAATAGTTTCAACAATAATTGCTAACAGCTTAGCATTTATTGTTAGTAGCTAGTAAAATTACCATGGCAGTAAAATATTTACAAAGTGAAATGTAAAATTAATAAATTTTAATTTATAAAAATTTATTACATTTTTTTTTAATTGGAAAATTAATTGTGAAAATATACCAGATTATAAATATTAAACAAAAATAGATTATTTTATACTTAATCATCGACGAAGTGATGGGCAACGAAGCTTTTTCAACTATTCCAGCCAAAATAGCGTATTCTGCGCCGACAAGTACCATTTCTTTGGCAGAGGGAATGCCCAATGAAAGTACGTTTCCGTTCACGGAAATGTCGGTTAAACTCTACGACGGTTTGTCCTTCACTCTCGACAAAAGTGAATTAGGCGCCGCTCTTCAGTATGTACCAACGCAAGGTTATCCTCCTTTTGTTGAGGTAGTAAATAATCTCCATTACTTAAATATTTTTTTTAGAATACTTTACATACCGCAATTTTTAAGAGAACAAATAATGTTTTACTTTATAGTGCTTAACTTTACATTC